GACGACGTGTGGTAAAAATGCTAGTCGGACGAGTCGAGGGGGAAGCCAAGGAAGACACATGGAACTGTGCGGGTAGTGGGCTTGTCCGTGCCAGAGGCATGAACGTGAGCAAGGCAGCCCCAGACGTGGAACGCAGACGCGTCACCAGGGAACCCGGTCTAGAGAATGGTCGGTGAAACCCGCGACCGCTGAGAGTGCGGCCACATGTTAAGCTGGTGAGCGGCGTAGCGAACAGCGAAGGACTAGAGAAAATGGGGTGCACCGGCATGGATCATGGAGGTACGAGCCACCTTCATGACCAAACCGATGCGTTGCTCAGCGACCCCATTCTGCTGTGCGGAGTGCGGCAGGGTGTATGACTGGGTGATGCCCTCCGCACGACAGAACTGGCAAAGCCGACCAGAGGCAAACTCGCCACCATGGTCGGAATGGAGATACAGCACGGGGAGACCGCGGTAGACGCACGCAGCTACGACCCACGGGATAAGAACGTCAGGCACGTCGGCCTTCCGCTCCAGAGGAACCACCATGGTGTAGCGCGTGTAGTCGTTGACAAGCACAAGAAAGTAGCGCTCTCGACGCGGCCCGGGGACGGGGGCGGGGCCCCGGACATCCAGGTGCAGGGTCTGTAGTGGCGCAGTGATAGGGTGAAGCGAGGAGGAGTGAGGAGCATGGCATAGCTGGCCTTCGACGCAAGGCATGCACGACGGCGTAGGCGAGGGATGGAGGACAGGGAGCGACGCAGGGAGACCTAGGGCAAGACCGTGCTGGGACATCTGACGCAGACAAGGGAGTGCGGCTTGACCTAGACGGTGGTGCCATAGAAGCGACGGGTGAGTGAGCGATTGATACGAGCAGGCCGCAGCGACCTGAGTAGACGCAGGCACCTTGGGGGACGCCCTCACCAAGGGGGACTTGGTGTCGAGGGTAAACAGGCCAGACCGAGGGTCCCGGGGGAACGTGGTGAGGGGGGTACCTGTGGCGGCGTCGGTACAGACCGTGTACCGCTCGTGTCCAGGGAACGTAGTGGTGACGTTGAGGTCTTGAAGACAGCCGAAACCAATTAGGTTCCTGGAGAACGAGGGGATGTGCAGGCCCGTAAGGGAGCCTGAGGGAACCGCCGGACAGGGAAGGGTAGTGGAGCTACGAGCAACTATAGGGCCTGAGGAGGGGTTAGCAAGCGCGACAACAGCAGGGGCGGCAAGCGGTGTGAGCTCAATGTGGTCGCGGAAGAAGCAGGCAGACGTGCCAGAGTCAAGCGTGAAGGAGAGTGAAACGGAAGCTGCAGCCGGCGGAGGAGAGAGCGTGGAGCCTAGACTAAACAAAGCAGAAGGTCCTACGCTTGACGCAGCGGGGGAGTCTTGACTACACACAGGTGGCACACTTAAACTAGGCAACACAGGGTTATAAGGTCCGGTCACACTAGAGGCATCAGCATACAGGGAATGCAAATCAAAACAAATCCGATCCATGTCTAACTCAAAAACAGGCACACCACGGTGAACAAGACTGAACCAATCGGGGAGGTCTGGCACCGGGCCGAAGCGGTGGCGAAAGATGTCGTCGAGGCCGCAGAAGCATTGGGTAGTAGGGTGCGGATGACCACACACAGTGCCGCGGAAGGGGCTGGTCTGGAGCTGGTACTGGCAACCCCCAGCGCTGGAGCTGCCCCCCGACGCCAAACTGCTGCTGCTGCTGCTGCTGCTACTCCCGGGCACAAGCCCTAGTCCCCTCGTCGGAACCGCTGTCCCCGCCCCCACCTCCACCACCCCCACCTCCACCACCCCCACCACCCCCACCACCCTGACCTCCACCACGCCCCCCCTTGGGGCGGTGGCCCCTACGCTGACGCAGCTGCGCTCAGGCCGCAGCGGCGGTCTCAGCAGCAAGGGCCGTCTTGACGACAGCGGCAGAAACGTCAGCGTAAGTGCACTGGGAGGGTGTACAACCCTTGAAGATAGGGACTACCGCAATACCACTCGATTGAGCGATGGTACGATGGCAAGTCGCTATCTCGGACAGGGCAGCGACAAAGGCGGTAAGGGTAAGGTCACCAGGGTGCTGACTAAGGAAGTGGTCGCGGGGAGTGGCTAAGTCGTCCGAAAGACGCGTGGCTATGAGGTAAAGGGTAACGCACAGCGACGGCGAGAATGCATTGAGCTGGGCCTTAGTGCTAGTGGTGCGGTAGCTAGCCTCGAGTGCACGGAGGTGAGTGGCTTGGTCAGGGACAGTGGGGAAGGCCGCTAGGTCAAGGAAAAGCATGGGGAAGATCAGGCGGCCAGCGGAGTCGGAGGCGAGCGTGGAATAGCGATCAACGACTGCCTCTAAGAAGGCAGCGGTAAAGCGGCGACGCTCAGACACGGGGAGGGCATGCCTAATGGCAAGCTGTGCTACGGCATCGCGCGAATCCCAGATTGTGCGAGCAAGCGCAGCAGCGGTAAAGGCCTCACACTCAGCTGTGGTGGGGGCGTCAGTGAGGGCAACAGGCGCGCCGGGGAAGGAAATCGACATGAATGGCCAGGGAGTGGCCATCTTTGTGCTGACCTGTCAGGTGTCGGCGAAGGTCGACAAGCCAGGTGTCGAACTCGATCGCGCGCCCCTCCGCGTCCAGGCAAAGCACAGCGTCTGCCATCGCACGTCCTCAGCGACATGGCGGCTTCAATCCACCTTGGTTGCAATGTGAAGCATTTGGTGGAAGGCATTCATATGAATGATATTATAAACTGGACTAACCGAGCAAATCCTTTACAGTTACCCGATGTCGCTATACTGTGCAAAACATCCCCGGTCTCCATTACAGCTGGCTTTTGGCAGCATTTGGCGACCCAGCTGTTCGGGCTCGGAGGTTGTTGGGCTCATCAGATGCGACATCTGCGCGAGCCAATGACATGTTCCGCATGTCCCCCACTTGTATCTGTCAAAGAAATGAAGTGGTATGGCATTCACTGTCGGTTTTTTTCCTCTGCCAGCTGCATGTTTCGAGCGAGACAGGCTGTGTTTTTTCAGTTTGTCAAGTGAGGAGCGAATCACCTCAGGTTTTACTCCCCCAACACCCAACCACAGCCAGTTCGGTTGGACCAGTGAGGCCGTGTCCGTAAAAATGATAAGTTATTTCCGCAGGGTCACGCGATTCGTTTTGACACTCGACAACATTGTTTGCAGAGTGTCAATATCACCTAGACCCGACGACCAATAAAATTTGTCGAATCTCAGGCTGACGGAAGTGTAGAGCCGTCGTGAGCCAACCGAATTCGTCGCTTTCATCTACTTGACCAACTGCTCCCGCCCAATCAACGAAAGGCCAGCATGATGCCTCGAAATGCATTGGTAGATTTTCCCCGCCAACAATTTAGATGCGGCGCTGGCCAATGATAAGCCTTCGCCACTTGTCGTGCAGGCGACTCGAGTTGACACCGCAGCTACAGTGTTTTACCCCCAAACGTGGGCGCGCTCCGGTTTGACACAGCCAAACATGACATGTCATTTCTACGGACGTCACCTGAGGCAAGAGATTTCTCTTATTTGATTGTCAGGTCGTTGTGGTTTGGTGCCTACATTCACACTGCCCACAACCCCGTGGAATATGGGGATAACCCGAGTCTCTTGAAACGTAGCTGTAGATTATTATCTAGTTGGGAGTCAGCTTCCCAACCACTGGGTTCTGTCCCTTGTGTTTAGGCAAGTTCCGGCATCTGGGTCAGGATTTAGGACCCCAGTTGGGGGCACACACTAGAAGTAACGCTGCCTGTTTCCGTATGAAGGATTTAACATCCAGACTGTTTAAAATCAAGGAAACCTCTGATTTACGGACATTACTTAATTTCAAATAAATTAATTTACCCAGTTTATTGCTAAAATATGTACGCATTACTGAATATATTCGATTTGACCCTTGATGGGTGCACTCCCCACCGTGCATTCATCCCTCGACGAAGCCAGCCACCACCATAGCGTACCGCACCCTCAGGCTTTGAGCCACACGGCAACACGACACCACCACCACCCAAACCAACCAACCAACCCTAGACGAGCAGCTTGCACAGCAGCGCAGTGTTTCTGGCGCGCTTCCTTGGTCCCAGAGCTCTCGCTAAGCCTAGGATATTCCGTTAGGTCTCGGAATCGGCCGCATAAATACCCGTTAACGGACGAAATTTCCAAAACTTTACCCGTTAGCATACGGATTCGTCGAAGAGCTACTCTTGGTTTCATACTAAGGAAATGGCCTTGGCCACGGCTAAGGAAAATTTATGGAAATCCCAGGGACTGTTTCTCGCGCATATTCCGCCGGAGGCAGTTGGAAGAGTAGAAAAAACTCCCGGCAATTAACCTCGCGCTTTGCTTAGTGGAGGAAGTTGGGAAAAGTAAGAGGGGAGGGTGTGAAGGGGTGATACACACTACGAACAGATCTCCTACTACAAATGTACTTCATACGGAATCAAATAAAAATAATCCGCAATGTCAAGGAACCACACGAAAAGTAATCCATTAGGGAGACGGAATCAACTTTTACTATGCGAAAAAACGGAATCAGGTCGGAAACAACTCTTAATTTCGAGACATTAAGGGTAATACCTTGTTAGCCAGAGCCCTGCTTGGCCCTCCCCCAGCCTGACGCGGGTGCCATCAGGCCAGGAACGCAGAACACCGCGCAAGCATGGAGGGAGGCGGACAAGGAGTGGCACATTATCACTCGCTGACTTTCAAGGCGTGTAGTCCAGTTCATTTTGATATTCTGCTTGTTCCACGTATTCCAGAGGAATCTAGTACGGTAAGTGGGGAATCTCTCGCGCGATGAGGGAGGGGCAGGTTAGGGGGAATCTGGGTTTGATTTCGGGGTGGGGGGGCAGGAAGGAGCAAAATGTGCAATTTCGCAGTTCAGTCAACTCATTTGCCCCGCCTAACTAACCACCAGACCAGACCTGAGGGCCCTTTCGTTTCCCTCACTCCCCCTGTCTCCTCATCTCGTACGTATCATCCATGGTCGACTATTTATCCAGTTCCCCACACGCCCTTCTTGGCCGCACATAGCACGTTTGTTTCTTAGCCCTCTTAGTCTGTCCTTCCAAACCCATACGATTCAGTCACGCCCGTCAGACTCACTCCATCGTGCTCTTCCCAGAACATTCACCCAGCTCGCGATGGATCGCCATCGGCATGTAACGCCTATCCTGCTGCTACTTCTCCTCGCAGTCACCGCATGCAGGGCCGCGATTGCCGCGGCGAACCCCACGCAGTTCGAAATCGCGATGGCGGAAACCATCGCAATGTCCGCCGATGAGCGCATGCAGCTAAACGCCGCGAGACTAGGCCGAGCGATGCTGCAACGAGCAGACGCTGACGCGAACGACGGAGACGACGCGGAGCCGTCGCGTCGCGAGCTCAAGGAGGGGGGCCGAGGGAAGCAGCTCGGTCTGAACCCTCCGCCGCTGAACTCCGGGCCGAGTATGGCGGACGTCAACGGGACCTTCTTTCGGTTCGACTCCGTCGTTCCCAATGCGACCGTCGACTGGCGGCTGAGCAAGTACATCTCTCCCATTCAGCGCCAGTTCCAGGTGCGTCGGTGGATTTCACCGAAAACAGATCGTTTTCTATGATTTCTAAATCTTGCGAGGCATTCCTTAGCGCGTCATCCCTCAGCGCGGCGCGTTAATATTCTCAGCTTCCTTTCTGCTCCATACTCCCTCACCCTGCATTTCCTGCACCCCCACCCCCCCCCCCCCCCCCCCCCCCCCTCTCCCCCCTGTCGCTTCCCTCAGTGCGCGAGCTGCTGGGTGATCGCAGCCGTCGATTCCATCTCCATGATGTGGGCGATCACGACCAAGACCACTCCAGCGGTGCTGTCGCCGCAGCAGGTGTGCGACTGTGCGACGAAGCAGTGCTGCCAGGGCGGCTGGCCCGACTGGGCCTTCTCGTACGTGCTCTTCAACGGCGGGATTCAGTCGGTCGACGACTATGGATACATCGCGCAGGACAACCAGCTCTGCAGCATCAACGCGTCCGTTCCCAACGTCGCTCAGGTCAGCGAAGTCTCAGTCGTCGCAGTTCTGTTCTCCGGCGATTGCGCGGCTATCGCGGCGTGTCTACGCCAGTTGTCGGAAATTGTGTTGTTCCGAACAACCTTCGTTGCGTGTCGTTGGTTGCTCAATTATGCCCTCGTCTACGCTGCTGTCGCAGATTACCGGCTGGGAGCTCGTGCCGCCTTACAGCGCCATGGCGTTGATGAAAGCCGTCAGCATGCAGCCTGTCGTCGCCTTCCTCAGCGGCTCGTCGAAGGATTTCCAGGTGATTAGTCAGGCTTCCTCTTCTTTAACTGTTAGTCCGTGTATTAATATATTTTTTATATTCGGTTACGGTTTTCTTATACTCTCGCGGGTTTTATTCGGACTTCCTTCGCAGCTGTACACCTCGCGTGACACCGTGAAGATCTACGACGGGCTGTGCACGACGGACATCAACCATGCGGTTGTCGTCGTTGGATTCAACAACACGGGCAGTCTCAACTCCAGCTACTGGATCATCAAGAACTCGTGGTTCGAAACGTGGGGCGACGATGGTTACATGTATCTCGCCATGTCACCAGACGTTCGTGGAAAATGCGGCCTTCACGCGTAAGCCTCTGCACTTGCCAATTCGAGGTGGCATCTCCGTGCTATTCCCTCTTCATTTCATTTTCTGTTATTACTGCAACCTAGATTCTCACATGATATATATTCTTCCTTATGTCCTACTCCCTCCAGAATTCCGGCCATGTACCCAGTGTACTACCCCTTCGGTCCTCAGCCCGTGAAGATTTCCAACGGTCCGGTCAGCCGAAAAGACGACGGCGATGACGGAAAGTGGTGGACGAAGTCTTACTCCGTCAACTCTGACGCATGCCAGAAGCTCATCAACCCGTGCGGGAAAGGCGACTGTTACACCAAGAACGGAATCGCACGGTGCGACTGCAGCGGGCTGACGAACTTCGTCGAGGTCTTGGGAGTGCCGACGGCGAAATGCGTGCCTCGGTATCCGTGTAGCCGGACGAATGTCAACCCGTGCGGCGCTGGCACCTGCAGCAACCCTGGGGATGGCACCTATGCCTGCTCTTGCCCTACCGTACGTCCCTTGCTCCTAATTCCTCATCGTGCTGTGCTTTTCTTGGAGAATCGTTTCTCACCTTCTACTTGTTTCCCACCTTCGCTGTGCTCCTAAGATCTAAATGTCATTCTTTTTCTCGTCGCCTCGCTTCTCAGTCACCATACACAGGGACTTTGCCTATCGTCTTCACATGTTCCACGTCTCCCGCTTACATTCCTCTCTCTCCCGTTCTCCCTCGACTTCCGTCTCCCTTCTCCGTTTCCGTTTTCTCTCAGGGCTACGCTATTGGCGCGGCCTCTGACGGAACGCAGACGTGCGTCGGAGTGGCCACCACGTCGACGTCTACCATCACCTACACCACTGTTCCCGGCGATTCCTGCACTGTACGTTTCATCATCCCTTCACCTGCGCCGTACGGTTTCATCCGCGCAACTGCTCCTGGAGGCAACCCCAGACTCCTGTCCCCGTTTGTAGCCGTGCCCGTGGAAAGTTTCTGGACCAATGATTCATGTTTCTTCCGTATGTTACTCTCCTGCTTCTTTCTGTGTCATGGTGGTGCGTTTGTGGCTCAGGCTGTGGCTGCTGCATTTGGCATCACCACCACCACACTGTCCACTTTCAACCCCTTCCTCAATTGCTCGCTCATGTACATTCCTCCTGGTAAGTTTTATTTTTACTAGTCCATGTGCGTCTTTAATACATTTTCCGCTCCTGGTTCATCATTGTAATGTTTCCGGAAAGCACATTTTGAGTGAGCCACTCTTCAACCTTTCGCTTCCTCCCCCCTCCCCTCCCCCCTCTTTCTCTTTCGTCCCTCCAGGATTCGCTATAACCGTCTCCAATGCAAGCACATCCTTGTCACCCATCTGCACCGCAACCTACATCGTTTCACCCAACGACACTTGCACCACCCTCGCCAACACTTTTTTCGCGGGCAGCTTATCCAACCTTCAAAAGGCCAACCCCCTTGTGTGCACGTCCAGCCGGCCAGTCTACCCATCTCAAGCCATCTGCACGAATGTAACCACTGCAGTTACTAACGTTGTAGTGCCGCAGTGTGGGCAGACGTATAACTCGGTCGCTGGGGATACGTGCACTTCGGTTGCTACCAAGTTTCTTATCTCGGTGACGTCCTTTGCAGGGTGAGTCTCATTGTCACTTCCGCTTTCTCGCCCAACTTCGTAGCATCACGCGTCTCCACCCATCTTCACCTTGACCCATCCCATTCGCCTGTCTGTCTGCAGGTTAAATCCTGGCCTCACGTGTTCTGGCTCTCTCCCCATTGGCTCCTACATCTGTGTCGCTCCTAAGTCTGCCCAGGTGAGTCCGCATGAGTCAGCATGAGGCCGCATGAGGGATTTTCCCCTCTTGCCTCCGGATTATCCTGCCCCGACTGACCAGTGGATGGCACGCAGATGCTCGCAGTAGTGCATGGCCCGTCTTCTTACAGTCCATCCTCCTTTCCTTCCGTCGCCCCCGCCACCTTTTCCCCTTAGACCACAGTGCTGCAGGGCTCTTGTCTCACTGCCTCATTTCCCCTCTCTATCCATCGATTACTTGTCCCACAGACCACGATCAACTGCACGCAGACATACACGGTGCTGCAGGGCGACAACTGCCCCAACATCTGGAACGCCGCCAACCTCACGGAGCAGACCTTCATCTCTATCAATCCTGGCATCAGGGTACGCTCCTACTGAGCCCACAATCTGTCCCTGCTGAAAAAGGCCAGTCTATTCTCCGGTTTCCTGGACCGCCATCCTGCCCACCCTACATGTCCTGCTCTCGTGTCTGTCTTCCTGCTTCTCCATCTGATCCGCCTAACCTGTCCCACTCTTTCCTCCGCTCTCCTCCCTTGTGCCCCTTTGATTTCCAGTGCCAGGCGCCCTACCTGCAGGTGGGCCAGAAGGTGTGCATCAAGTCTCCCGTCCTGGCCACTCTCTTCGCCGACAGCAACACCAGCTACTCCATCTACACCGTCAAATCCGGGGACACCCTCGCTCTCATCTCCGCCTCTTTCATCAACCGCTGCATCGCCGCATCGGTGTCTCCGGCAGCCATAGCCGCGCAGAATAATATCCTGGAGACGGCGGCGCTGGTGGTGGGATCCACGCTGATCATCCCCTGCGATTCTCGCGTGGGGATCATTGACTGCGGCTGCGCCACCTCCCTCCCGGTTTGCGGGGCGGACTATGTCACGTACCCGTCGTACTGCGACGCCCTTTGCAACTATGCTGTGCCTCTCGTCCAGACTGACGTCTGCGGAGGCTGCAACGCCGCCTGCTTCGGCCGGACCGGGCTCACCCCGGCCTCGGGTTACGGATGCACCTGGGCGGTCTGCCCATACCCGTTCTGGAAGCCGGCCGATTCGGATTGCTCGGTGATGCTCGGGGATGCGCCGGGCAAGTGCTGCGATTTCCAGAAGACCACATGCCAGAATAGTTGCACGGACGTGAAGGTGACGCTTGGGGGGACGGCGACGCAGCAGACGACGAACTACAACAAGTGTTTTGCGCAGTGCATGTGCTGCTCCCGGCTGCCCTGCGGCGCCGCCTCCTGCCCGGCTCCCAGCTCCTGCTGGTCGGAATCTCCCCGGAAGTGTATTTATGCGAGCTTTGCGTACTCCTGGAATTGTACGTGGTTCCCCCCTGCTTCGCCGCTGCCGTAGAAGCTGGTGCCAGCTGTGTGGGCAATGAAGGGACAGCATGGATTTCTCATCTGATTTTACCATTTCATTCATTCGTATGTTGTTAGTATCATCTAATAAGCGCGTGTATAAATTTACTGCTCTAAGTTTCAATTTTAGGGTGTTTCCTGCCCGTGCTTACGTTTCTTGCTCAAAACCCTACTTAAAACCCCACGGCAAAATAGCAGAGGGGAGTCCCTCTTGATGGCAGCCTCTCTGGGAAAAATCAGAGTCCCTTTTTGGACGACAAGGCCACCAAACGAGAGGCGCAGAACTTTGCACCAAACGAAACGAAAGCATCAAAACTTTCCTCCCATTGGTCGAACCAAAACATTTACCAGGGTTGGGCGCGAGAATGCGCACGCAAAATGGAATTGAGAGATTCCGCGTCGGCAGCCCGTCGCACAGCTTGTCGCAAGACTGCGCAACTAGTCGGGCGAGAGGGCCATGAAAACCAAGGGGGAAAGTATATGCTGGGTAACTCTTACTTTTCGTTTCCCACCTCGCGAGACACACAGCACGATAGATTGTATCCAGGCAAAGCAAATAGAGGTTTTTTGCACGCGGATAAGAACAACTTCTTAGAACTGAAGAATTGGAACTACACTTAGGAACCTAGCTTAGCTAGGAAGGAAGGAAGGACGCCATGGAATGGCGTGAGGCAAGTAGATCTAGGAGTAGGCAAAAGTGACGAGAAAGAAGAGAGCTGGATTAGGAAGAGAGAGCAGTACAGGGAGGGGATTGTATATCAAACCTAGAATTGAATAATGTGAGAGAGAGAGTACACAAACATATACCTAAATGTTGTACTCTCTAGAAGGTGACCCTATACAATCTATACGAACATGATAACTACACATGTTTGACACACCCCCTGGACTGCATAGGGGAATGTTCTAGACAAGTAGCTCAGGATGGCACTACTAGTCCAGCCTCTGAGACAAGGGTCTAAAAGACCAGTCAGAAGGAGTACAGACAAGGCAAGAACGAGTACAGGGCGGCACTACTAGTCCAACCACTGTGAGAGGACACAAGTCCAGTCTGAGTGTATACATATATATATATACGACAGTACAAAGTCAAGGCCCGAGTAAGTGAGAGACTACAGGAACCAGACCAAGCTGTAAACAGTGCCGCTGATGATCTTTAGGCGCAAGCGCCTTCGTAAAGATATCAGCTGTGTTGGCACCGGAGGCCAAGTGTACTACGCGAGCCTGGCGCCGCTGCTGTAGCTCGCGCAGGAGGAAGTACCGCAGCTGGATGTGCTTCGCTCTGCCCTCGAGTCGAGGCTCCTGACACAGGAGAATCATGGCCCTATTGTCAGCGTACAGGACCGGGGCAGAGCTAGGCCGCTCACCTAAGTCAGTGAGCAAGAAGGTCAGCCAGCGGAGCTCCTGTGCCGCCATGGCACCGGCGTAGATCTCAGCCTCACAGCTGGACTGGGCAACCGACGAGGAGCGGGTAGCTCTCCACGAGACAGCACCTGAGCCAAGGCTAAAGCAGTAGCCCTGGGAAGACCTGAGCGTCTCGGCGTCGTCTGCCCAAGAAGCGTCTGTGTGCCCAGTAAGGACCACTGGCCTGCGTCCGCCTAGCACTAACCCCATGCCCGATGTACTTGCAAGATAACGCAAAACCCTCTTAGCGGCAGACCAGTGCTGAGGTCGGTGTCTGCCTGTGGCCACAAAACGAGCCAGGATGCTGAGAGGGTATGCGAGATCTGGGCGAGTGCAAGTCATCAGGTACATGAGGCAACCCACTAGCTCAGCGTAAGGACCACTGGGATCTACCGACTCCTCAGGAACTGGAGCGGAGAGTCTGTGGTCCAGAGGAAGAGGGGTGGGCTGTGCGGAGGAGAACTGAAGGCCGAACCTCTGAAGGACCTGGCGCACCAAGTGTGACTGAGTCAGGGTGATGGTGCGGGCGGCTCTGTCCCTGGAGATCTGCAAGCCAAGGTAACGGCGCAGCTCTCCAAGGTCAGTGCAGGTGTGTCTCTTCAGCAGCTCTGCCTTCACGGAGGCCAGTGCGTCCCTGTCAGCTGTGGCAAAGACCAGGTCGTCTACGTAGACGAGGATGTAGAACGGAGTCGAGCCAGCACGAACGAAGAGCGAGGGGTCTGCAGAGGACGGAAAGAACTGCAGGTCAGCAAGAGTAGCACGCAGCGTGTCGTGCCACTCACGAGGCGCCTGGCGCAGGCCGTAGACTGGGCGCCGCAGAAGCCACTGGGTCCCAGGGGGGAAGGTGCCAGTAAAGCCCTGAGGACGACGCAGGTAGACCTGCTCGTGAAGGCTGCCCTGAAGAAAGGCAGTGGAGAAGTCGAGGGAGTGAAGCTCGTAGTCACGCTGAGCCGCTACGTGTAGCAGAACCCGAAGAGTAGTCATCTTCGGGGTAGGAGCGAAAGTCTGAAAGAAGTCCACCCCCTCGCGCTGACTGAAGCCTCTAGCCACGTAACGCGCCTTGAACACAGGCGGCTCTCCAGGAGGGCGCTTCACCTTGAAGAGCCAACGGCCATCGACCACGTTCACCCCAGGTGGGGGAACTGCGTCGATGAAGGTGCCGGTGGATCTCCAAGATGCCATCTCCTGCTCCATGGCAGCTATCCACTGAGAGGCCCAAGGTCCCGAAACCGCCTCAGCGTAAGTACGAGGGGTCGGGATGTCAAAAGCGTCTGGGTCACCCTCAGGGACTAGCAGCATGGAACAGAGATGGGGAGCAGCCTCGGACAGGAAAGCAAGCTCAAACTGGCGGTCCTCCAGGACGTCACTGCCGAGGGCAGGAGCACCCCCGACAGACGGAGGACAGGCAGGGTCAGAGACCAGAGCGGAGGCGTAGTCAAGGCGGCGGGTAGAGGCGAAGTCAGCGACCGCAGCGACAAGGGCGTCAAGACTCGACACTGGAACAGACGGGTCGGTAACGAGAGAGGCAAGGACCCGAGGAACAAGAGGACGAGCGGCACGAAAGTAGTCAGACAGAGGAGGAGACGCAACGACAAGAGAGGACGGAGGAGGAGACGGGAGGAGGGGAGGACGAGACGCGTGGGAGCGGAGCAACATAGGGTGAGTGCGCGGGACGGGGGATACAGGACGAGCACGGGAGGGGCGGCGAGACCAGACGTGAGAGGGCGGCGTCGGGTCGGGAGACAGAGGAGGGGACACGGGTGGGGAACGAGGGGGAAAACGAGCCGGGGACGAGTCCGGCGGAGGGAACACGGGGCCGTAGACGGGAAGAGGGGGAGACGGCCGGAGAGGAACAGGCGCAGGGTCAGGGGACGGAAGGCCGAGCAGACGGAGGGCGGACACCGGCGGGGACTGCTGCTGCGGCGACACAACACCAACGCCAGGGCCACAAGCTGCGCGACGGCTACCTCCCGAACCCTCCACACCGGCACCCCCAGAAGGGACACCCCCAGAGCCCGAAACACCGCCAGCACCGGTACCACCCCCAGGCCCGCGGGGACAAGCCACGACAGGAGCCCCGGGACGAGTACCCACCTCAACTCCAGCACCCCCAGAGTCCACAAACAGCGGCAGCGACGACGGCGGCGGCGGCGGCGGCGGCTGCAGCGACGGCCTCGACGGCGGCGGCGGCGGAGACGACGGCTGCAGCAGCTGCGGCGACGGCGGCTGCGGAGGCGGTGGAGGAGGAGACACCGGGGGAGGGACAGACGGCGAGGACTGCGCCAAAGGACTACCAGAGTCAGAAGACTCGTCGACCGGAACGACCGACGGGAGGGGGGTGACGTGAGACACACCAGAGGGGGCCGGACGGGGGGGCGGGGGGGGGGAGGGGCAGGGGCCACCAGGGAGGGAGGAACCAGGAACAGGGGGGGAGTAACCGGGGGACCACGGTGGGGAAAGCGGCGGAAGAAGGAGACGGACTCGTCAAAGGTGACGTCGCGAGAGTGAAAGAAACGGTGAGACGGCGGGTGGTAGAAGTGCCAGTCGGACGCGTCAAGGGGGAAACCGAGGAAGACGCAGGGGAGGGTGCGGGCAGTGAGCTTGTCCGTGCCAGAGGCACGAACGTGAGCAAGGCAGCCCCAGACGTGGAACGCAGACGCGTCACCAGGGGACCCGGTCCACAGAAGGGTCGGCGAAACCTGCAGCCGCTTGGGGTGCGGCCACAGGTTAAGCTGGTGAGCGGCGTAGCGCACGGCGAACGGCCACAGAAAATGGGGTGCACCGGCGTGGATCATGGAGGTGCGAGCCACCTCCATGACCAAACCGATGCGTCGCTCAGCGACCCCATTCTGCTGCGGGGAGTCCGGCAGGGTAAACGTCTGGGTGATGCCCTCCGCACGACAGAAGCGACCAAGGACACCTGAGGCGAACTCGCCACCCCGGTCGGAGTGGAGGCGCAAGGCAGGGAGAGCGCGGTGGAGACGAGCAGAGACAAGCCAGGGGATGAGAACGTCAGGCACGTCGGCCTTCCGCTCCAGGGGAAAGACGGTGGTGTAACGTGTGAAGTCGTCGACAAGCACTAGGAAGAAGCGCTCGCGACGCGGCCCATGGACCGGGGCTGGGCCCCAGACGTCCATGTGCAGAGTCTGCAGGGGTGCGGTGGTAGGGGGAAAAGAGGAGGAGTGAGGGGCACGGCGGAGCCGGCCCTCGACACAAGGCGTGCACGGTGGGGCGGGGGATGAGGGAAACTCAGGGAACGAACCGGGGAGACCAAGGACGAGACCGTGCTGGGACATGTGACGCAGACGCGGGAGTGCAGGGTGACCAAGGCGGTGGTGCCAAAGGAGAGTCGGATGAGTGAGGGACCGACAGGAGCACGCAGCAGCAACCTGGGTGGACGCAGCTACCTGGGGGGAAGACCCAGCCGGGGACGTCGCGGTGTCAAGTGTGAACAGGCCGGACACCGGGTCCCGGGGGAAAGTGGTAAGGGGGGCACCAGTGGCGGCCTCGGTACAGACAGCATACCGCTCGTGACCAGGGAACGTAGTGGTGACGCCAAGGTCCTGGAGGCAGCCGACACCAACTAGGTTCCTGGAGAACGAGGGGATATGCAGACCGGTGAGCGAACCTGAAGGAACCGCCGGACAGGGAAGGGAGGTGGAACTGCGGGCAAAGACGGGACCACCGGAGGGGTCAGCAAGAGTAACTGCAGCAGGAACAGGCAGCGGCGTCAGCGTCGTGGAGTCGCGGAAGAAACACCGGGAGGCGCCAGAGTCCAAGGTGAAGGAAAGCGCAGCAGTCGCGCGGGGCGACAGTGAAGCGGTGGAAGCACCGAGGCTAAGCAAAGCAGGAGATCCTACGCCTGACACAGCAGGGGAGTCTACGCTAGGCACAGCTACACTAGGCAACACGGGGTAATAAGAGGGAAGCACACTAGAGTCATCGGCATACATCACATGCAAGGCTGCTACAATGGCATCCATGTCCAAGTCAAAAATCCGAATGCTACGCCTAAGCAAGCTGTGCCAGTCCGGGAGGTCGGGCGCCGGGCCAAAGCGCTGGCGGAACAGGTCGTCCAGACGACGAAAACAGCGAGGAGTGGAATGACCGATCTTACCGCAAACGAAGCCGCGGCGAGGACCGGTCTGGATCTGGTACTGACAGGGCCCGCCTCCAGAACCACCACCCGGTGCACCACCACGCGCACGACCACCACCAGCTCCAGGCCACCCAGGCGGGAGAGCACTCGCCGGCCTCGTCTGCGGCGGCTGCTGCGGCTGCTGCGGAGGCTGCTGCTGCTGCGGCTGCTGCAACGGTGGAGGCAGCGGGGCAGCTGGACCGGGCAGGGTCCCCACGTCCGCACCGGCACCGGACGACCCGCCTCCACCACTACCCCCACCCGCACCCCCGCCACCTCCGCCGCTCCCAACCTTGGGGCGGCGGCCCTTCCCCGAGCGGGACTGCACTGCAGCAGCAGTCTCAGCCACAGCGACAGAGCCGTCGGAGAAGGTACACTGAGCGGGGGCACAACCCTGAAAGATAGGGACCGGTACTGTACCGCTCGCCTGGGCTATGGAGCGGTGACGAGTCTCTATGGCAGTCAGGGTGTCAACAAAGTCGGTGAGGGTGAGAGCAGCAGGGTGGATGCTAAGGAACTGGTCGCGGGCGGCGGCAAGGCGGTCAGGGAGGCGGGTGGCAAGGAGGTAGAGGGTAGAGGTCATGGGAGGCTGGTGGACTCTAAGCTGTGCATCAGTGCAGGCAGCGCGCCAAGCCTCATCTATCGAGCGCAGGTGGGCAGCGAGGTCAGAGACAGTGGGGAAGGACGCCAGGTCAGGAAAGAGCAGGGGGAGGATCAGGCGACCCACTGAGGCAGCAGGAGGGGTAGAATAGCGCTTGATGACAGCATCGAGGTAGGCCTGGGCGGTAGTAATGGTTCTAAAGCGAGGGCGCTCAAACCTGATACCATATCAAACCTAGAATTGAATAATGTGAGAGAGAGAGTACACAAACATATACCTAAATGTTGTACTCTCTAGAAGGTGACCCTATACAGTCTATACGAACATGATAACTACACATGTTTGACATTGTACCCTCTACAGAAAGGTTCAGTAACAACCTACCAAGCCTATATTAAATTATAACTTATATAATTTTAACACACCCCCTAGGCTTGGTAGGGTCATAACTTATTTCAAGTCTTCAGCGACGTGCCATAAGTGGCGCGGCGCTTACTGGCAGGAGGGCGGGCAGGTGGCGGTTACGACGGCGTGCTGCCCGCTGCCGCCCATCGACACTGCCGCGGCAGCATGTCGACGCTGTGGTGGCACGCCGACGCTGCAACGGCAGCAAGGTGACGCTGCCACGGCAAAGCGTCGACGCCACCACGGCAGGGCGTCGAGGAGGCGACGGCCGCACGACGAAGCCGCCATGACAGACCGGCATGGCCGCCACGGCGGGAAGGCAGTGACGAGAGAAATGCGCGGCGGAAGCGACGGCACGACAGCGCGACGCCACAGCAGTGCGTCGAGACGGCCGCGGCACGACGCGGCCAGCGGCACGACACGAGCGCCATGGCAGCGCGAGAAGCGTGAGTAGGCGGTCCAGCAGGAAGGATCTCCTGCTCTGATACCATCTTAGAACTGAAGAATTGGAACTACACTTAGGAACCTAGCTTAGCTAGGAAGAAAGGAAGGACGCCATGGAATGGCGTGAGGCAAGTAGATCTAGGAGTAGGCAAAAGTGACGAGAAAGAAGAGAGTTGGATTAGGAAGAGAGAGCAGTACAAGGAGGGGATTGTACCCTCTACAGAAAGGTTCAGTAACAACCTACCAAGCCTATATTAAATTATAACTTATATAATTTTAACACTTCTCGCACGCGTAGTGGGTTACGGTAGTAGGTTACGGAATACGCTGCATGCTGCGAGACTGCGACCAGCCTCCCGTTGTCCACTTCCAGTTTCCTGCTGCATCCCGCTTTAGACCTCGCGCTTCCCGCGTTTCGCTGCCTCCCGCTTCCTGCGTCCTGCTTCCCGCCTCCCGCCTCCCGCATCCCGCTTCCTGCTTCCCACTACCCACTTCCCCCTCCCTGCTCCCCGCCTCCCGCATCCCGTTCCTGTTAGGATTAAGGACGGAGTCTAGGTGAACTTAGGAGCTAGAATCACTCAAAATATAAATCCGAAATTCTGGACAGAAAAGTCGTCTTCACAAGAAACGACGTCGACGAAAAACTAGCTGTCAGAATGTCGCGAAACTTGGACATATTGTAGCTCTTAATCTCGGCTACCGTTCCCAATTTGAATCACGTTGATTGATGAAGTATTCGCAACGCTATGGCTTTCGACGCACTAGGGGGTAAGCTATAGGAGGAGAACTTAACTCAATCTCCAAAAGTTCTATCAAAGTTCAAGAATCTCACAAGGAATTTAGAGGAGCAAGAGAAAGGTTGGGATAGAAAGAGAGGGACGAGAGGGAAGGTCCCAAGAGAGTCCCCAACCAAGGAAACCCCATAAGCACAAAGATTCCCCCCCTATAGGAACCCCAACTTTGACATTTGTCCCTTCCAACCAATCCATCCAAGTTGGCCACCCTTGCCAACCTAGCTTGGTTGTTCCTAACCAATTTGCAGCTGTTACAGTAGAGTGACAAATTTCCCCAACCCCAAAGGTCCCAGCCCCATATAGAGTCACCCCACAACTTCACTTTGTAACCGCCGCAATTGTAACGCAAGCTCATGAACTTTGAAACTTCATAGCTTTCGCGTTCTTGCTACGATTGAAGCGATTCTTGTTGCGTCGGAAAGATCTTCTCAAGATCTATCATGACAAGAACCTGCTCAAACAAAAAATAACACAGAACACATTCCCAAACTCCAGAACACACCACATACAAATTCTTTCACACACAGTAAAACCATACATGCGAATTGAAACAAGGGATGGGAGGCAGACAGAATGTGATAGCATATGATGACATCACACAACAGTTCCCGCGTCTCGCTGACTCCCGCGTCCCATTCCCCACGTCCCGCGTCCCGCTTCCCGCCTCCCGCTTCCCGCGTTTCACTGCCTCCCACTTCCCGCTCCCCGCTTCCCACTCTCCCGTCTCCCGCCATCCGCCTGCCGCTTCCCGCTTCTGGCTTCCCGCCTCGCGCCACCCGCCTCCCGCTTCCTGCTTCTCGCTTCCCACTCCCCGCTTCTTGCTCCCCGCCTCCCGCTTCCCGCGTTTAGCTGGGTCCTGCTTCCATCGTTCCGCTGCCTCCCGCTCCCCGCTTCCCCCCACTCTCTCTCTCGCTCTCCTGCTCTATCACACCCCCCCCCCTTCATGCCCAGCTCATGAACTCCCTCAATCATCCGTTGACGTCCATTCGTAAGTTTCAGGCTCATCCCCCCCCTTCTCTCTCTCTCTATCTCTCTCTCTCTCTCTCTCTCTCTCTCTCTCTCTCTCTCTCTCTCTCTCTCTCTCTCTCTCTCTCTCTCTCTCTCTCTCTCTCTCTCTCTCTCTCTCTCTCTCTTGCTCTTGCTCTCGCGAGCGCCGCTGCAGGGACCGGATGAAGAACTCAACTCGAAACTAAATAATGAACTCTAGGATGGGTGGAAGAGCCTTATATACCATGGGCTCTCTCTCTCTCTCTCTCTCTCCTTCTCTCTCCTCTCTCTCTCTCTCTCCTCCTCCTCTCCTCTCTCTCTCTCTCTCTCCTCTCTCTCCCTCTCCTCCTCTCCCCCCCCCCCCCCCCCCCCCCCCCCCCCCCCTCTCTCTCTCTCTCTCTCT